CAGGCTCCAGGAATACAAACCCACACCCGTCCCTTCCAACACAGGGTTACAGTTTTTATAATGATTTCCACCCAATGCCCGTCCCGTCCCCGCCCCGGTTCTGCCCCGCTCTGCCCCAGGAACGCCCGTGGGGAATTGAGTCTGGGGGAGTTTGGAGCTTTGAGCCGCTGCAACTACAACTCCCGGCGTGCCCCGCGCGGAAAAGGGGGCGGGGCGGGGTCTCTGCCGGCGGTGCGCGCGCACAGCCCCGCGGTGGCTGCCGGGAAAGCGATGGCGGCGACAGCGGGATCTGCTCCGACTCTGTGAGCCCTGGCGGCGGCTGCGGCGGGGCTGGGGATGCGCTCGGGGGCTGCGGGGAGCGCGGCTGTGGGCGGGAAGGCTGGAGGGCTCGGCAGAGTGGAGAGGAGGGGCTCGGGGGTTACCGAGGAGGTTTTGAGGTCCGTAGGGAACTCCCGGGGGGTCGCGGAGGGGATTTGGTGTCCTGAGGGCGCTCAGAGGGGAGGGTGAAGGTGCCTGAAGGGGTTTCGGGGGTCCCTGAAAGGGCTGGGGCCTCGGAACCCTCTGGGAGGGCGCTGTTTAAACGCCATGGCTGCATTGCGCAGGCGCCCGCGGATTTCTCATTAAAGGAACTTCAACTCCCATGGCGCCCTGCGCGGCGCCGCCATTGCCGCTCGTGCCACAGCGCCGCCGTTCGGCTGGGCAAACCGACCGCAGGAAAAGCGGGTCCCGAAGCCCCCCCGAACCCCAGAGACCCCCAAAACTCAGCACACAGAGACCCCACAGGGAGGGGATCCCGGTGGTCCCCTAAAGCCTATCAATGGGGTTCAAGGGGTCTCCCAGCCCTCAGGGGAGTGGTCCTGGTGCTGCCACCCAAAGTCTTGGTGGGGAGATGAACCACATGTGGGTAAAGGGATCCCAGTGCCCCCAGTATAGCCCAGTGACCTCCCAGTGGCTCTCAGTATGGCCCAGTAACACCCCCCAGTGACCACCCAGTGTTTGCCAGTGACCTCCCACTGTCCCCCACTATTGCCCAATGATTCTCCAGTGAGCACCCAGTAACCCCCAGTATGGCCCAGTAACCTCCCAGTTTTCCCCCGTGTGTCCTGGTAATCCCCCAGTAATCACCCAGTCCCTTTTAGTGCCCTCTCAGCATCCCTCAAAAACCCCCGAGTTCCTCCCAGTGCCCCCTGGTTCCCCCAGTGTGTCCCAGTATCTCCCAGTAATCACCCAGAGCCCCCCAAAGCCCCCCAAGTGTCCCCAACATGTCCCCACGTGCCCTTGACCTTTCTGTGAGCATGGGTGGATGGGGCCATTTTGGGGGTCAGAGGGTCCAAGAGGGCCTTTGAGGCGGAAATGGAGGGTTGGGGACATCAGGGATGGGGTTTGGGGACAGTAGAATGGGGGGTGTCAAGGGGGGAACTGGGGCCATGGGGAGGTCCTGGGGACATTGGAGACACCAGGGGGGTCTCAGGACTCACCTGGTCATGGTGCTGCCCCTCCTGTTCCACCCAGGCCCCAATAAGGCCCCCCAAATGTCCCCTAACCCCCATTTTTCTTTTAATCACCTCCCTCCCAGATCCCTTTCAACCCCAATGCCACCAAGACCATTGTACTCCCCCAAATGCACCCAGAGGGTGGCGGGGCTGGGGATGCGCTCGGGGGCTGCGGGGAGCGCGGCTGTGGGCGGGAAGGCTGGAGGGCTCGGCAGAGTGGAGAGGAGGGGCTCGGGGGTTCCCGAGGAGGTTTTGAGGTCCGTGAGGGGCTCTCGGTGGGTCGCGGAGGGGATTTGGTGTCCTGAGGGCGCTCAGAGGGGAGGGTGAAGGTGCCTGAAGGGGTTTAGGAGGTCCCTGAAAGGGCTGGGGGCCTCGGAACCCTCCGGGGGGGCTGTTTAAACGCCATGGCTGCACTGCGCAGGCGCCGGCGGAGTTTTCATTAAAGGAACTTCAACTCCCATGCGGCTTCGCGCGGCGCCGCCATTGCCGCTCGTGCTACAGCGCCCCCTGCCGGCTGGGCGGACCGACCGCAGGAAAAGCGGGTCCTGATGCCCCCCCGAACCCCAGAGACCCCCAAAACTCATCGCACAAAGACCCCACAGGGACGGAGGTCCGGGAGTCCCCTAAAACCTATCAGTGGGGTTCAGGGGGTCCCTGAGCCCTCGGGGGGGGTCCTGGTGGTGCCACCCAAAGTCTTGGCAAGGAGATGAACCACATGTGGGTAAGGGGATCCCAGTGCCCCCAGTATAGCCCAGCGACCTCCCACTGGCTCTCAGTATGGCCCATTACTCCCCCCCCAGTGACCACCCAGTGTTTCCCAGTGACCTCCCACTGCCCCCCAGTATGGCCCAATGATCCTCCAGTGAGCACCCAGTAACCCCCAGTATGGCCCAGTAACCTCCCAGTGTCCCCCCGTGTGTCCTGGTAATCACCCACTAATCACCCAGTCCCTTCCAGCGTACTTCAATAAGTCCCCAGTCTTTCCCAGTACCCCCTGGTTCCCCACAGTGTGTCCCAGTATCCCCCAGTAATCACCCAGTGCCCCCAAAACCCCTCAAGTGTCCCCAGCGTGTCCCCAGATGCCCTTGGCCTTTCTGTGAGCGTGGGGGGACAGAGCCATTTTGGGGTCCACAGAGTCCAGGGGGGCCTTCTGGGGAGAGATGGAGGGTTGGGGACATCAGGGATGGGGTTTAGGGACAGTGGGGAGGGGTTTGGGGACAGTGGAATGGGGGGTTTCAAGGGGGGAATTGGGGCCATGGGGAGGCCCAGGGGACATTGGAGATACCAGGAGGATCTCAAGGTGCCAAGTGGGAAATTGAGGACAGCAGGAGGGTCTTGGGGACAGCAGGGGGGTCTCAGGACTCACGTGGTTGTGGTGCTGCCCCTCCTGTCCCCGCCCCGGCCCCAATAACTCCACCAAATGTCACCTTACCCCCCTTTTCTCTTTAATCCCCGCCCCCCCCAATCCGTTTGACCTCCCAGTGCCCCTGAGACCCCTTTTAACTCCCCCAACTCCCCCAAATCCCCATCCAACCTCCCCCCAAAGAGGAATCATTTGGCACCCTGGGACAGGAACACAGTGGGCTGTGCTGGTGGCACTGGGCTGTACTGGGAGGGCACTGGGGGGAGATCAGGTGTCTCACAACAACGTGGCCCAGCTCCAGGAGAGATTTGGGGAGCAGCAAGGAGGTCCTGGTCTGTCCTGGTCTGTCCTGGTTTGTACCCCCAGTCCCCAAAGCCCCTCCCCAGCTCCCCCAGGACCCTCCTGGACCCCAAAGCCTCCCAGACCTCCCCCAGGCCCCTGACTTGGTCCTGCTGCCTCTGGAACATCTCCAGCTCCTGCAGAACCAGCATTTCATGAGCAAATTGGCAGCTGACACCAAGCTGGGATGTATATTGGTGTGCTGGAAGGCAGGAGGGCTCTGCAGAGGGACCTGGACAAGCTGGATCCATGGTCTGATTCCAAGGGGATGAGGTTCAACCAGGCCAAGGGCCGGGTCCTGCCCTTTGGCCACAACAACCCCGGCAGCCCCCCGGGCTGGGCACAGAGTGGCTGGAGAGCAGCCAGGCAGGAAGGGACCTGGGAGTGTGGAGGGACAGGAAGCTGAACAGGAGCCAGAGTGTGCCCAGGGGGCCTGGGTGAGGAAGAGTGTGGCAGCAGGAGCAGGGCAGGGATTCTTGGCCTGCACTGAGCGCTGGGAAGGCCACCCTGGAGTGCTGTGTCCAACTCTGGGCCCCTCAGGTCAGGAAGGACATGGAGGGGCTGGGGCAGGGGCAGAGAAGAGCAGCGAGGCTGGGGAAGGGACTGGAGCACAAGTGCTGTGAGGAGAGGCTTAGGGAGCTGGGGTTGTTGAGCCTGGAGAAGAGGAGGCTCAGGGGTGACCTCAGCACTGTCCCCTCCCTCCAGGACACTCCCCCAGAAATCCTCGGTGGGACCTTTTGTGTCTATTGGTGGTTGCTGCTTTATCCTGGGGACCTGAGGGCCCCTCTGCAGTCCCATCCCTGGGGCACAATCTGCTCTCCAGAGCTCGACTGGCTCCCTGCAGACTTTGCAGGGCAATCTGTGCTCGCAGCTGCATCCTGAGCCCGAGGTCGGTTTGTATCTCCGAGTGCTGATCCAGCCTGGGGACCCAGGGGATCCTGTGCCATTCCATCCATGGTGCAGGAGTCACCCTGCTGCCCTGGAGTCCCTGCAGAGCAACAAGTGCCATCTCTGTGTTTGGGAGCTGCCGAGGGTGGAGGGCGGAGCGGGCGATGCCGGAGCTGGGGGACCCCCGGCAGGCTGGAGGGGGGAGCACGGAGAGGGAGGAGCCCCGGGACCCCCGGGAGCCTGAAACGGGGGGAGTGGAGAAGAGGAAACCTGGAGAGTGGGGACCCCTGGGATCCCCAGGACAACAAGGTGGAGAACCTGGAGAGGGGGAATGTGTGGGAAGGCGGCACCCCGAAGGTGAGAGTCAGAGGAGAAGGGACCACCAACATCCCAGAGAGGGGAAACCCTCTGAACCCCAGAGGGGGGAGACAAGAGAGGGAGAACTCCTGGGAGAGATTTTTTTTACTCATCTTCATAATTTATATTTCAGCTGAATCTCAACTCTTTGCAATTATGAGGGCGGGGGTCTTCTTGCTATTTCTGAGGGGTTTTTGCCTAAATCTTGGTGGTTTGGTTTTTTCTGTGCTGAATCTTGCTGGTTTGGAGGTTCCCCAGAACCCTGAAGTTGGGAGATGGGGGAGTCTTGGATTCCTGGGAGCTCCAGCAGCCTGGAGAGGGAGGGCAGGGACCTCGTAGAGGAGAGACCCCAGATACACACGGAACTCCCAGCAGCTCGGACAGGGGGGACCTCCAGAATCCCGAAGTAGAGAGACCAGAGAGGAGGAGCTCCTGGCTGGGGATTTTTGGGCTAAATCTTGGTGTTTTGGAGGTTTTTATGGTCCCAGGATGCCCAGTGAGTTCTAGAGATGGATTGGGCAGGAGGAACCCCCAAGGCAACACGCTCAGCCCTTGTTTCAACCCCAGCAGGATTTGTCCTTCCCAAAGCTTGGGTGAATGGAGGAGGAGGCTGCGAAGAAGCTGCCGCAGGCTCCCCAGGCAGGTGAGGAGGAAGTCAGTGCCCCTTTGGCCCTGTCTTGTGGTGCATCTGTTGAGCAGCCTCCCAGCAGGGAGAAGCCCTTCAGGTGCTTGGAATGTGGGACGAGCTTTAGGCAGAGCACCCACCTACTCAGCCACCAGCACATCCACACTGGGGAACGGCCCTACACATGTGGGGAATGTGGGAAGAGCTTCAGGCAGAGCGCCCACCTCCACAGCCACCAGCGCTTCCACACTGGGGAACGACCCTTCAAGTGTGGGGAGTGTGGGAAGAGCTTCAGTGACAGCTCCACCCTCCGCAAGCACCGTCGCATCCACACTGGGGAACGGCCCTACAAGTGCTTGGAATGTGGGAAGAAGTTTCCGACCAGCTCCAGTCTCGTCCAGCACCAGCAGACACACACAGAGGAGAGGCCCTTCCGCTGCACCGACTGCGGGAAGGGCTTCAAACGCAACTCCCACCTGGTTGGCCACCTGCGCATCCACACCGGGGAGAGGCCCTACAAGTGTGAGGTGTGGGAAGAGCTTCACCCACAGCTCTGCCTTGACCCTACACCAACGGACCCACCAGTAAGGGCAACCGTACGAGTGCCCCGACTGCGGGGAAAACCTTTACCACTGCTCCCACCCCGAATGACGCCCTGATGGTGAGGCAAACCCTGGAGTCCAGGGACTGTCAGTTCACCCCTTTCTACCAGAAAGGACCAGTCCCCTTTGCCAGGGGCATTTTCTGCCAATAGAACCCTTCTTGGGGGTGTGTGGAGATTCCTACCTTGGCTGGGACCCCCAAGGTCACTGCTGGAGGTTGAGAGCAGAGAGCTCCCCCCGAGCGTTGGTCTGGGGGAGTTCCATCCATCTCTAATGAATAATTCTTGCTTTGGTGCCAGCTTTAGTAGAATTGCTCCAACAATTGCTTTAGTGTAGAGCACTGTCCTATCTTATGCTGTACTAGTGGTAGTTTTAGTGTTTCTATTGTGCAGTAAATAATTCTGAATGAAGATCTTTTGTCTGATCATTTGTAACCCTAAAGAATTCATTTCTATCAATAGGTGTGATTTGCCATGATTAAAACCTGGGGGACAAAAGTGGTTCAGTCCCACCTCTGTAATTCCTCTAAGCTGAACCTGTTGGCAAAACCTAAGGCTGAGATTGGATCCAGCAGCCCCAGTACCCCACAGTCAGTTGGGAGCTCAGAGGGGCACCCCCCCCTTTCCTACCCCTTTGTGCCCAGAGACCCCCATGGGACCATCGGACCCACTGGACCGTCCAGACCATTTCCCCTTTTCCACCCTTCTCCCGTTCCTCCCATCTTTCCATGGTCCCCTGCTACAATCTGCTTAAATATTGCAGAAAGAACTAGAGATTCAAATATTCCCTTGAGCAAAATAAAAACTCACACAAGTTATCTGTTGATACCAAAACCTGATTTTATTAATTGCTAAGAGGTGCAAAGAGAATGAGGAAAAAATAAGAAAAGGTTGGAAACTGCTAAGATTATTTCTAGAAGCAGAGAAAAAATACCACTGAAAAGTACCTTTTCCAGCTGAGCTGGTGAGTGTGGCAGAAGAGAAGCAGTTTCTGCCTTTTTTTTGTCTGTCTCTGCAGCTTTTGGATGTTGTCTCTGTAGCTGCAGGGGGTCTGACAGCTTTAGTTCTCTGCAATGCACCATGTGTGGTTTCACCGCTCACACCCCTGTCCCAGGCCATGCAGGGTCTCAGCTCAGCCGAAGCTTTGGGCCCTCAGAAATATGGTCAGGGTAGAAGGATAAGGTAGAACTCCCACATGTGGCACAGTGGTCTCAGCTCTCTCCAGGCCGGCATAGTTCCAGTCTCCGGTGGCAGGCAGGCAGCACGCGGTGGTGGAGAAAAGGTGAGGGGAGGTGGGCAGAGATTCTCAGCTACAGTCACCAGTTCTTGTCCCTTTTTTCTCCCTGATTTTCCAAAATTTGTCCTCAACTTTTATAGTGTTCAAAAGGGGTTGCATGTGGTTTCTTGGCACGTAGCCAGTTCAGATGTTGGAGGAGATATGATAACCATAAACAATGGCAGGATCTTTTGGCAGGAAAGGTGCCATGGGAAGTCCTGGTGAGAACTTCTGTCAGAGAGCTGACAGAGAATGTTTGATAGGAAGTTTTTGACAGGCAGAAACAATTTTTGGCATTTCTATATTATCTGTGTGTTACGGATGGTTGCCATGGTAAGCGACGTAACAGGAAATGCATAATGGTTGCCTTATTAACCAACCCTAGCAATGCAAATGCACAATCTTTGCCATGGTAACCAAGTTAACAATGAGAATGCACAATGGTTGCCATGGTAACCAGCAAAACAGTGAGACTGCATAGCGGTTGCCATGGTAACCGAGGTCACAATGAGAATTCACAATGGTTGCCATGGAAGCTGTTGTAATAATGGGATTTCAGAATGGTTACCACAGTAAGTGATGTCAGAATGAGAATGCACAATTTTTACCATGGTAACCATCACAATGAGAATGCACAATGGTTTGCATGGTAAGCGACATCACAATGGCAATGCACAATGGTTTGCATGGTAACCGACTTAACAATGAGAATGCAAATGGTTGCCATGGTAACCGACTTAACAATGAGAATGCGCAATGGTTCCCATGGTAACCAAGGTCACAATGAGAATTCACAATGTTTGGCATGGTAACTGATGTCACAATGAGAATGCACAATGGTTGTCATGGCAACCGGGGTTACAGTGGGAATGCACAATGGTTGCCATGCTATGCACAGTCACAATGAGAATGCACAATGTTTGTCATGGTAACAAAGTTCACAATGAAAATGCACAATGATTGCCATGGTAACTGAGTTCACAATGGGAATGCACAATGGTTGCGAGGGCAACTGACAACACAATGAGGATGCATAATGGTTGCCATGGTAAGTGAGGCCACAATGAGGTGCACAATGGTTGCCATGGTAACCGAGGTCAAAGTGGGAATACATAATGGTTTCCATGGCAACCAAGGTCACAATGGGAATGCACAAGGGTTGCCATGGCAACTGAGGTCAAAATGAGAAAGCATAATGGTTCCCATGGTAACCAAAACTCACAGTGAGAATGTACAATGGTAGCCATGATAACCAAGGTCACAATGAGAATGCACAGTGGTTGCTGTGGTAAGCTAGGTGATGATAGAAATGCACAATGGTTACCATGGTAATCATTTAATAATGGGAATGCACAATGGTTGCCATGGTAACCGATGTTAAGAAAAAAAACATAATGGTGGCCATGGTAACCAAGGTCACAATGAGAATGCAAAATGGTTGCCATGGCAACCAAATCACAATGACAATGCACAATGGTTGCCATGGCATCTGATGTCACAATGAGAATGCACAATGGTTCCATGGCATCTGTGGTCATAATGGGAATGCACAATGGTTGCCATGGTAACGGAGGTCACAATGAGATTGCGCAGTTGTTTCCATTGGAAGTGTCATCACAATGAGAATGGACAATGGTTGCCATTGTAACCATTCTCATTGTAACAATGAGAATGCTTAATTGTTGCCATGGTAACCACTGTAACAGTGAGACTGCATAATGGTTGCCATGGTAGCTGAGATCACAATGGGAATGCACAATGATTACCATAGTAAGTGACATCATTATGAGAATGCACAATGGTTGCCATGGTAACTGAAGTCACAATGAGAATACACAACAGATGCCATATTAACCGATATTACAGTGGGAGTGCACAGTGGTTGCCATGGTTGCTGAGTGATACTGAGAATCCACAATGGTTACCGTGGTAACCGAGGTCACAATGAGAATGCACAATGGTTGCCATGGTAAATGACATCACAATGAGAATGCACAATGGTTGCCATGGCAACCGAGGTCCCAATGATACTGCACAATGGTTGCCATGATAAGTGGTGTCACAATGAGAATGCACAGTGATGTCTATGGTAAGTGATGTCACAATGAGAATGCACTATGGTTGCCATGGTAACCGAGGTCACAATGGGAATGCACAATGGTTGCCATGGTAAGTGACGTCACAATGAGAATACACAATGATGTTCATGGCAAGCGACGTCACAATGAGACTATACAATGGTTGCCATGGTAACCAAGTTAACAATGTGAATATTCAGTGGTTGCCATGATGTAAGGGGGTGCTTTTGATTTAGATGATCCATGGAGCAAAAGGGGGTGAAAAAGTGATTATATTCGCATGTGAACACAGCCAGAGTATTGTACAATGTGACTTTATTGCACAAGTTCCCTGTAAGGCCCATTGTACCTTTAGCAAAGTTAACTGGATATCCCCTATTATCAGAGCTGAGTTCCTCCTTGGCTTGGCTCCACTCTGCAAGAGAGATACAAATCCCCTTGAAACACAATGGTACAGGTCGTCCATAGGGCTGAGGAAGGTGATGGAGAGGAAGATGATGTGGGCAGGGGTCATTGGCCCCTTGCCCTACAGTGGGGCACGCCCAGACTGTTGCCATGAGGTGATGAACGGGCGCTGTTTGGCTGCCACTCAGGCACCACCTTTTGCTATGTCCTGACCCTACGTAGTGTAATGTAGAGCTGATGGAATGGGGTGTCAGCACTGCTGGGTGGAGCGATGCTCATCCTTCCATCCACACTGTGCTGCTCCGCGGGGACACCCGCCAAGCACAGGCACCGACCAACCCTGCAGAGCCTGGTAGGCCTGGCCTGTCTGTGCAGGTGAGCACAGTTTATTGATAGGAAGCAACCAAGGAAGCAAACATTTTATATCCTTTTTTTTTTGTATCCCTTTAATTCTCTTTTTACTAGCTAATGCTGTAATAAAAGCTGTTTGTAGTATTGGATGCATGGCAACTGATAATGTAGTGGTTTTGTATTTTTCAACTTTTGATTCTCTTTGCTGCTATTTTTTTTTTATTCTCACTGCAATAAAAGATTTTTGTAGTGTTTGAATGGCTATTGTACTTGTCTTTACTCCGGGCATGGATTCAAACTAATTAATACAGAAGGGACTGGCAAGAGGATTCAGGGGGTTCTGGGTGGGCTGGGGGAGACCAGGACGGGGTTTGTGGGGTCGTGGGTGATCTATGGGAGGTTTTGGGGGTCCTGACCCACCCGGCTCCCCCCAGAGATGCCACAGGACACCGTCTGCAGCAAGATCCTTGTGGGGGTCGGGGGCTTCGTGTTGGGCTTTGTATTCCTGGTGCTGGAGCTCGGCTTCTACCTGTGGGAGAAGGTAAAGGGGGGTCCGCAGGGGTCGTGTCCCTCCTTCCCCAGAGCATGTGTACTCCCCCTGCCCCCCTAGGCCGCTGTCACCCCCTTTCTCTCCCCACAGAGCTCCTGAGCCGCCGGCGGCCACAGCCCCTCCCCGTGGCCTCGGGCCCAGCCTGGACCCCCCAGTCCATCCCCACCCGGAGTTTGGGGGGTTTGTGTGTCCCTCCTGACCCTGCTTTTGCTCTCACACCAACCACCCGCTCCCAGTGCTTCCAGTAAAGCTTCCCAGTTCTCTGCAGTCCTGGTGTTGAAGGGCAGGTGCCCTCCCAAAGGCCTCCAAGAATCAGCTTATCCAAACTGTACAATGGTTGGCACCCGTTGTCTTTCTGCTTCCAGGAGTGTGTATTTTTCTGCCATGTCTGGTTCAATGTTTTCACAGCTTATTGGCTCAAACTGTGTCTGCTTTGTTTAAAGAAAAAGGAGGAAGTGTAGGGATTTTTAGTGCTAATATAGAGGATATGCTGCAGCTGTGAGAATACAACCTTATGTTGCTAACCAGAGGATATGCTGCAGCTGTGAGAACATAACCTTATGTTTCAATTGTGAAAACATGATCTGTTGTTCTGATGGCCTTCTGATGGTACCAGGATGGGAAAGATCTACCAAGAGAAGCAGTAGCAAAACTGGATATACAAAACAGGGTCTCAGTTCCGGCTCTCAGAGTGGGAAAGGACATAAAGAATGTTAAAGAAACAGAGCTGATAGAAGAGTATTGTTAGAAAACTGGATCAAAGACTGCTGCCTGATTCCAAATCAACGGCGCTCTCTGATCATCACATTGCTGTGCTGAGTCGTCCGTGCTCACATGGAAACCCCCCAGGCAGGTGCCCTCCCAAAGGCCCCCAAACATCCCAAACATCCCCAGTGATGTCACCACTGTCCCTATGATGTCACTGGTGTTCCCAATGATGTCACAGCTGTCCGACTGATGTCATCACAGTCCCTGTGATGTCACCAGACAGTTGTGATGTCACTGCTGTCCTCACGCATGTCACCACTGTGGTGTCACTGCTGTCCCCAGGGGTGGTCCCTGTGTCCCCAGTGATGTCACCACTCTCCCCAGCGATGTCACTGGTCTCCATGTGATGTCTCCGATGTCCCCAATGATGTCACAGATGTCCCTGTGATGTCACTGGTGTCCCCAGGAGTGTCCCTGGTGTCTCCAATGATGTCACCACTGTCCCTCTGATCTCACCGACATCCCCAATGATATCACTGCTGTCCCTGTGATGTCACTGCTGTCCCCAGTGATGTCAGTGGTCTCCAGTGATGTCACTGCTGTCCCATGAGATGTCACCAATGTCCCCAGTGATGTCACTGCTGAGCCTGTCACCTCATTGCTTTCCCTTCGATGTCACTGCTTTCCCTGTGATGTCACTGCCATCCCCAATGATGTCACTGGTCCTCTGTGATGTCACTGATGTCTCCAGAGGTGGTGCCGGTGTCTTTTGATGTCACTAATGTCCCTGTGATGTCACTGCTATCTCTGTGATGTCAGCAGTCTCCAGTGATGTCACTGCTGTCTCTGTGGATGTCACCACTGTCCCATGTGATAACACTGCTGTCCCCAAGGGTGATCCCTGTGTCCCCAAAATGTCACTGCTGTCCCTATGATGTCACTGCTGTCCCAAGTGGTAGTACCATGTCGCCGTGATGTCCCTGATGTCCCTATGATGTCACCAGACCCCTGTGATGTCACTGGTCTTATGTGATGTCACCACTATCCCCTCTAATGTCACTGATGTCCCCAATGATGTCACCGCTGTCCCTATGATGTCACCAGACCCCTGTGATGTTCCTGGTCTCCAGTGATATCACTGTTGTCCCTACGGGTGTCACCACTGTGCCCTGTGATGTCACTGCTGTCCCCAGTGATGTCAATAATATACCTATGATGTCACCAGTGCCCTGTGATGTCACCAGTGACACCGATAATGTCACTGGTGTCTCTGTGATGTCACCCCTGGCCTTGTGAACTCATCAAGGTCCCCTGTGATGTCAAAGATGTCCCCGTTAATGTCACTGGTGTCTCTGTGGTGCCATCACTGTCCCTGTGATGTCTACAATGTCCCCAGTGATGTCACTGCTGTCCCTGCGGTGTCACCACTGTTGCCAGCAGTGGCACCTTGTCCCCATGATGTCACTGATGTCCCTGTGATGTCACCAGAGCCCTGTGACATCACTGTTATGTCTGTGACATCACAGCTATCTTTTAATTGTCACCCGTCACCTGTGATGTCACTGGTCTTTAATGATGTCACTGCTCTCTCTGTGATGTAACCACTCTCCCCAGCGTTGGCACCGATGTCCCTGTGATGTCACTGATCTCAATGTGACATCACGACCTTACCCTTGTTGTCAACTGTCTCCTGTGATGTCACTGCTCTCCATGTGATGTCACAACTGTCCCCACTGGTGGCACCATGTCCCTGTGATGTCACTGATGACCCCAGTGATGTCACCAATGACCCTGGTGATATCACTGGTCTCTCTGCAATGTCACCTCTTTCCTTGTCAAGTCACCGTTGTCCCCAGTGACGTCACTGATGTCCTTGGGAGATCACGGCTGCCCCTTTGTATTCACCAGTCTTCTGTGATGTCACTGGTCCACAATGATGTCACTGCTGTCTCCGTAATGTCACCACTGTCTCCTGTGATATCACCAATGTCCTCCATGATATCACTGGTGTCTCTGTGTTGTTATCCAGGTCCCCTGTGATGTCATTGATGTCCCTGTGACAACACAGCTTTCCCTTTGTTGTCACCGGTCCCCAGTGATATGTCTGGTTCCCAATAACCCCATTGCTGTCTCTGTGATGTCACCACTGTCCCCAACAGTAGCCTCATGTCCTCATGATGTCATCTATGTCACTGTGATGTCATCTATGTTACTGTGATGTCACTGATGTCCCTGTGACATCACAGCTATCCCATTGCTGAAAGCAGTCCCTTGTGATGTCACTGGTCTCCAATGATGTCACTGCTGTCCCTGTGATGTCACCACTGTCCCCAGCAGTGCCACCATGTCCCTGTGATGTCACCAGACCCCTTTGATGACCCTGCGACATCACTGCTGTCCCTCTGTTGTCACTCTGATGTCACTGGTCCCCAACAATGTCCCTGCTGTCTCTGTGATGTCACCACTGTCCCCTGTGATGTCACCAATGTACCCGATGATGTCACTGGTATATCTGTGACATCACCCATAGCCCTGTGACATCACGACTGTCCCTTTGTTTTCA